CTCCACTAAGTCATTTCTCACATTCATCAGTTCTCACTTCTCCTTTCCTTTTTGTTAATTCAACCCCCAAAAGGAGGAACTACCCAGCAGCTGCACCCCCAGCCAGCTCATTTCCCCAGCTCCTGCCTCACTGCTCGGACGTCTAGTGAGGGCCCTGCACTGGTTCAGCCATGGGCTGGGTGGTGTGGAGGGTCCTGCTCGCCTGGGTGTTGGTGGCTTCGGTGAGAGGGGCTGAGCAGTCCCAGGAGCTGTCCTCTGCGGGGTTTTCGGAGTGCAAGAAGGCCCTGAAGCTCCCAAGTCTGGAAGTCCTGCCGGGGGGGGGCTGGGATAACCTCAGGAATTTGGATATGGGCAGAGTTATCAACCTGGGCTATTCGCTGTGCAAGACCACAGAAGATGGATCTTATATCATCCCAGATGAGATCTTCACTATCCCTCGCAAGCAGAGCAACCTGGACATCAACTCTGAGATCATCGAGTCCTGGAAAGATTACCAAAGCATCACCTCTGCCTCCATCAACCTGGAGCTGTCCCTCTTCTCCTCCATCAATGGCAAGTTCTCCTATGACTTCCACCGAACCAAGACCCACCAAGTGAAAGACCATGCTGTCACCACCCGAGTGCAAGTCAGGAACCTGGTTTACACTGCCAAGATCGACCCAGGGGCAGTCCTGGACAAGGGCTTCAAGAAGCAGCTGCTGACAATTGCCAGCCACCTGGAGAACAACCAGACGCGGATGGCTGATTTTCTGGCCGAGGTGCTGGTGCTTAACTATGGCACCCACACCATCACCTCCGTGGATGCTGGAGCCAGCTTGGTGCAGGAGGATCAGATCAAGGCAAACTTCCTGAAGGACAGCTGGGCCACACGGAGTGCTGTCACCGCCTCAGCCGGCGTGGCCTTCCACAGCATCGTTGGTGTGAAAAATGAGGAGTCCCTGGATGTCAGCTCTGGCTTCACTAAGCAGTATCTGGAGAACCGCACCAACTCCAGGGTAGAGAGCATCGGTGGGACGCCCTTTTACCCAGGCATCACCCTCAAGACCTGGCAGGAGGGGATCAGAAACCAGCTGGTGGCTCTTGACCGCTCAGGGCTGCCCCTGTACTTCTTCATTAACCCCAGCACCCTGCCAGAGCTGCCCACCCCCACAGTGAAGAAGCTGGCCAGGCGAGTGGAGATGGCTATCCGCCGCTACTACACCTTCAACACCTACCCGGGCTGCACCGATGCCACCTCGCCCAACTTCAACTTCCATGCCAATGCCGATGATGGCTCCTGTGAGGGTGCCATGACCAACTTCACCTTCGGGGGAGTCTTCCAGGAGTGTGCTGGGCTGGCTGGCCCCGACACCAGCACGCTGTGTCGGGGGCTGGAGCAGAGGAACCCCCTCACTGGGGCTTTCTCCTGCCCCACCACCTACACTCCAGTGCTGCTGGGCATGCAGGAACGGGAGGAAGGCCACAGCCATCTGGAGTGCCACAAGAAGTGCATCCTGGGCATCTTCTGCCACCGCGAGTGCCAGGACGTCTTCTGGCTTTCACGGGTGCAATTTAGTGCCTACTGGTGCGCAGTGAGCGGGCCAGTGGCCCCGAGCTTGGGATACCTCTTTGGGGGGCTGTTCAGCGCTCACAGCACCAACTCTATCACTGGTGCCCAGTCCTGCCCCTCAGGGTACTTCCCACTGAAGCTCTTTGACGAGCTCAGGGTGTGCGTGAGCCAGGATTACGAGGGGGGAGGCCAGTATGCGGTGCCCTTTGGGGGCTTCTTCAGCTGCCAGGCGGGGAACCCCTTGGCAGGGCAGCATCAGGGCACCGCCGAAGACCCCCATGCCAAGAGCTGCCCCCCAGGCTTCAGCCAGCACTTGGCGCTCATCAGCGATAGCTGCCAGGTGGAGTACTGTGTCCAGGCTGGCATCTTCACAGGGGGCTCGCTGCCGCCTGCCCGCCTGCCACCCTTCACCCGGCCCCCCACCAACCTGCCAGCCATCAACACCGTGCTGGTGAGCAGCGGGGATGGGGACAGCACCTGGGTCAGGGATGGGCAGAGCCACACATGGCGGCTGACCCAGCCAGAAGAGATCCAGCACTCAGTGGAGATGGTGAGGGGCCGGGGGCTGACAGGGGGCGAGGTGGCTGGCGCCCCCGCGGCGGTCTCGGCGGGGCTGGCCACCATCCTGGCGACAGTCTGCTACAGCCACCGGAGGTACAAGGCGAGGGGGTACCGCGCGATGGGCGAAGGGGACAGTCTGGCCGCCGCGAGCCCCGAGGATAGCACTGTGCTCAGCATGGGTGAGGGGTACTAGCAAGAGCCAGAGGGGCCGATGGCATGAGCATCCCCACCCCGCAGTTGCCAGGCAATGCCTTGTGCCCCAAACCCAGGCAAAGCCCCCTGCCCACCCCCCCTTTCCAGGGGCAAAGCTGCACAGCGCTACTAGCCCCCTGCCCCTCGCCCCCTGGAGCCAAGGGTCCCTGTCCCCACGAAGGCCCCAGGCTCACCCCTCCGTGGGACAACACATGCTCTCGCCCTCCACTAGATCCCCAAGCTCCAGCCTCGAGCTCCATGGGAGGCTCCATGGCCCTTCAGATATCCCTCCCTGGCTGACCTCGGAGGCCGGCTCCTAGGGTCAACCCATCATCAAGACCCACCACGATATCCCTCTGCCTGCCCCTGCACCTCCACGGCTGCATCTCCCCCCTCCAACCAGTCCCAGGGCTCTGCCCCTTCACAGATAAGCGAGTTTCCCCTCCACTGCAAGCCATGCCCTAGTTGTCTCCCCTGCCCCAAAACCAAAAAGGGGGCCTCAGGACCCTTCAACAAGCTGCTGGGGACACTGGGGTGCCCAAGGAGAAGGAAACCCTGAGCACAGCCATCTTCTTGCCCACAGGCTGGCCCCCAAAAGCCAGGGGAAGCTGTGCCCCTTCACAGATAAGCCCCTCCCCCCTCCACTGCAAGCCATGCCCTAGTTGTCTCCCCTGCCCAAAAAGGGGGCCTCAGGACCCTTCAACAAGCTGCTGGGGCCACTGGTGTGCCCAAGGAAAGGAAACCC